TACCATATTCAGTTCGCTACTAGAACTGCACCTTACTTGCACCAGAAAGGCGTTAAAATCAATTGATCAGTTTGCGATTCTGCCATCTTTATGCAAATCACAACTGGCCAAAAATCATATTCATGTGCTATTTATGGCAACACATGGTTGATTTCCTAGCAGACGAAAAATATTTCATAAAGAAAATTTTACCATGCGTCTTGCCTAAAAAAAACACTCTTTCATATATCGGTGAACATCGTGCTGAATAAATTGTTTTGTTTTGATAAACTGTTATGCTCGAGTCGCAAATTGAGGACGTGAATCAGACTTTTCATTGGGCTGGACAATTGACATGTGTCTGACAGATAATAAGTATCAGAAGACGAACATTTGTTGATACAAAGTTGCACTTGAGACTTACACTACTGTGTTTAAGCCTTTACTACTGTTGCGCGTTCAATTTTCAAAAAGTTCATTCAGGAGTGCGGCATCGCAAAATCCGGAAAAACAAATGCAGTGTACGCCATGAAAATTTATTTCGATTTGCTGCACATTGGTTATTTGCAGTTTTTCTTATTCAATTGTCAGTGACACAAAGTATCAAAACAGAAAATTAAATTAAATGGACTCGCGCCGATTATTTAAGGTTATTCATCTGCAGACGAGACTGCTTATAAAAAAACGAACCCTGACCTCTGAAAATACCCTATTCATAGAGTGCCTGTACCTAAGACCGTCGCCCAAGGCGACACAATGCACGTTGCGATATCGCAATCGATGCATGCTGGGTGACAAGGAGAAATTCTGATTGAGGTAACCAAGATGGCTGCGTTGAGTGCATGATTGTCTGCGGTGAAACAGCACGTCGCTGCCTACTTCGACGACAGTCCCTCAAGGCACTGTGCTTCGATGTATTTTCTAAAATAATCGTTTAATTTTAATTAATCGGGGGTTCGAAATGTGTGCATTTTGTCACAGAAAAGTATGATATCGGCAGCGGTAAATACCTGTAATTTCCCCGCAATGCCGTCAGCTGACAATGTTACGGTGGTCGTAGCGCCGGAGTCTTAGCGTTAGCCCCGACTTTAGTTTTGACAGTGATAGAGGGACTGGTTTTTCAGATGCCTTCGTAGAAAACAATGTTGCCATTATCGTTTTAATACTTTCATCATATTTTGATAAATAACCAAAAAATGTGTTCTATGAATTTATGAACTGACATGGACACAAAACTGACCGTACTTGTTGCGGACAAAATGTACCAGTTCGCTCCATGGATAACCATATTTTACTGACTATGCCATATATATATATATAACGTAAGTAATTTATCCTAAGAAGCTGCTCATTAAAATTTAGTGCATTTTTTCCCTGTTCTGTTTCAAACATTAATTTACCACATATATCACAATAGAGAGGGTTTATGGTATCACTTGATTCACATTTAATGACAAAATATAACAAACCATCATGTCTGTAATTAGTTCCAGATAAATTGAATAACAATAACAATTGTATTGACTTGTACCAAAATGTAAGTTGTGGGAAACTGATTATTATTACCAATCACAGAAATAAATAAATATAATTTTCATCACACTTATAAATGACATGATGTAAATAGATTTGTGAAACAAATGCAAGTTTGTTTTTTATTAGCATTTACATGTACAAGACTTGCAAAGGAAAAAAAAAAAAAAAAAATCGCTGCCGCTGCTGTAATTCTTAACACTTCAAAATATAACACTCGGTATGAACATGGAGCTCCATAGTGTACATCTTATTTTTTTCCTACTGAAACCAGGCTCAAACAGTATTGTAAGAAAAACCTAGGTTTCCCTAGGTCTGACTTCTTTATTCTCTGTTTGTTTTTAGTGGGGGCATTAATGGGCAGTTAACCCGGAGGTTAGGTTCAAACCTACTACTAATTTGCATATTGTAGGTCTAGTAGGTCTGAATAGGGCAGGCCGGGTTTGACCCAGGTGTTTGAATATGAGATCACCCCTTATTCTGCACCTCATGGCATACCTGAAATACCCAGTCTGAATGAATTAATCTTCAAAGAAACCTTTTCCTTGTTGTTATAGATGATGCTATTGAGGAAAGTAAGCAAAGCAGAGGGAATGCCCACATGTGTAAATTTGACATTACTGATGTTTGTAAGCAGTTACATTTATGTCCATCAATATGCCATTTACATGGTGTGAAATGGAATCAGAAATATTGTTTCTTTGTAAGACTTGTTTTTGGATCACGTTCAAGTTCAAGTTCAAAAATATTTGACACTATTTCCCAAGCTATACAAAGTTCAATGTGCAGGTAATTGTATTGGATGACTTCCTAACCATTGACCATACGGATGAGAACCCCACACGTACAATGGCTATTATGACTCTGATCTTCAAATCACTGAACATTCCTTTGGCTGCGCATAAAATGCAGGAACCCTCACATAAATTGGAATATTTGGGAATTACCTGGTATCCTAAACTTATTTTTGTATGTGCAAATTGCAAGTGCTAGTGCTGACACATATTCATATTTAAGACTTCATGCAAGGGCTGTGCGGCCATCTCTCTTTCAAATGGCAATTCAATGCGCTATCCTGGTGTCAACCAGGCTCGGTCGAACACAAGCATCCAGGACCTTAACTAAGGTTCCCCCAAAATCGCATTCTATCATTAGTGAATGAATCTCGGCCAGTGGAATTGCCCTTCCCATTGTGTCGCGCACTTGCATTTGCAGATTTTTCATGATAGCATTATAAAGGGGCACTAAACATACTTCGCTATGCATCACTTCGAGAATACCAATAAGAGGTTGTCCATGCATACACATGTACACTTCTGGTCATGGTGTTCTGTCTAAAACTTTTTTTATATTTGACCTACATACAATGCAAACGCAATACAATAGTTGTGATGCTCATTTTAGTCGGCATGGTAGCAGTCACTTGCCAACCAATCACTATCCATCAAATACTGTATTATTTAAATTATACTAATTTGACGACATTGAAAAAGGAACCCTTACAAGGGACACAAGTCTTTGTTTGTTTCATGGTAAAAGGCATTTGCCATTTATACACAAATATTTTATTTTATCGAAAAACAGCAAAAAACAAACAAGAAACTGTTGAGCAAGGTTTGTAGCTCATGAATATTCATAAACAACTAGTATGATGTATGTATAATGAATGAGCTTTGTATTGGAAATAGAAAATATATACATACCACAAAAGAGTCAATGAAACCTTGATATTTTCTTTCAGATGAGAAATGCTGTTTTTGTAAATGCGAGTATAGTTTACTTCTGCAATGTACAAAGGTGTACAATTAAATCAGGCAGACTTTTATTTACTTTTATAGTTCATCATGTTATGCTTTGTAAACAATGTTCTTTTCATCATATCATTCATCAGCAAAGAACAGTAAATATATTCGTAAATAATCTTACCTTGTTTGGTACAGAAGAGTTTTATTGAACTGCCAATTCTTCACACACCTGACAGCATCTTCCATTAATTTCTTGTCATCACTAAATTAAAAATAATAGAATTCTTAGTATACCAGCTCTTACTACTAAGTACATTATACCACAAGTAGCCACTTGCTGCCCAGTTACATTGCTTGTTAAGTATATCACTGGTATGTGTACTACAAGATTCTTTGCGTACTGTAAAATCGTATTAAAAGCTGCGGCTTCTATTAAAATGGTACAATGCAACAGAGGGGATGTGGCTTCTATTAGAGCATCTACACAAATGAGAAATGGTGAATTTTTGCTTCTCAATTGTTCAAAAAGAATGGGTGCGGCTTCTATTAGGGATGCAGCTTCTAATACAGATTTTACGGC